AAAAAAAAAAAAAAAAAGTTTAAGTTCAAACAACAGTTAAATTAATTTCTTTTCATCCTCTACTCCCCGTTGTCAATTATGACATTTGCTGTTTTTGACTTTTCATTTTTTGAGAGTCCTTCCGCTGAAAAGCGGTATGTACCCATTTTTATTTCTAACGCATACACCCCCGCCAGAATTGCGCAGATACCTTATCGCACAGTAGCGCGTTTCACGCTTTAGTGAAGGCACATACCCATCCTGTGCATGTGTGACTATACTTAAGAGCTACATACACGCTGCTGAGTACACCAATGGAAGCAACTGGAAATTAGGGGGGAAATAAAAAAAAAATATATATTCTTCCTTTGAGCGTGTCTGCTTGTTTTGGTAACCCCCACGGGGGTAGGAGTCTTCAACGCATGTATTTCCCCCCCCCTTTTTTTTTTTTTTTGTGTGTGTGTGTGTGTCCACCGCGACCCCAGTTCCTTATTACAGCTACATGATTTTTGTTAAGTGATAGGACATGTTTTCCTTGTGTTCCACGCGAACAGCTTCCCTTCTGTAGGAAATTTACCGCGGTAGGCGCCAGCCATGTGGAACCTTATAAACTACAACTACAGCGGGGGAGACGCAACCGGCGAAGGCAATGATGATGGAAACGACGCTAGCGGAAATGGCAACGTAAGACACTACTGCATGCATGAGTTGATTGGGCTGTTTGGGGGGAAAGTACTTCATATCTGGTGCAATTTTGTCCATCCGATAGGAAGGGCAATATCTACATGCCTTATGGATGTGAGGGGGGGCGTGATTCCCCCGAGGAGAGCACAGTTCAATTGAGGGTATGTCATCCCCTTGATCTTCATCTACGCCAGTGCACGGGTAAACGTGTGCAATGGGGAGGCAATCAACTTGTGGCCAAACACGCAAACGTATGTGAGTCAGTACGCCCCATTCGAGATAACCCCTTCGCTTCATCGCAGGACACCGCCAACAATTATAACCTCTGGAGCATGCTAGGATATGAGGACAATCCGGGTGTAGAAGAAGAAGCTAACCAAAATAGCAATGAGCAAGAGGAAGTCCAGTCAAAGGAAAAAGAAAAAAAAAAAGCGGCAAAACATTTCGTGAGAGTGATTGACGAAGATGGTAACGACGTTGTTAACAAAACGCTCGAAGAGAACATAAACGAAATGGACGAAGATTCATCAGATAAACAGAAAAAAAAAATGAAAAAAAAAAAAAAAAAAAAACATTTGACTAGCGAAAATAGGGACAAGTCCCCCTTCCTTAGCGATCTCAGTTCCTATGCTGATTACGGCACAAGCGATGAAGGTAGAGACCGGAATGAGTCCCACGTAACGAATGAGCATGGTTTGGACATGCAGCCGGAAGGTGAGGAGTCCTTGCTCGAGGAGGAAGCCACTGGGGAAGTTCCCAGCGGCAGTGATGAAGACGTTGGAGATGAGGCCGGACAGGAAACCGCCTCCGCCATGGCCAATGAATGGTTCTTTGGCAAGATCAAAGAAATTTTGGAGCCAACCATGAACCAGGAAACCATAAGCGAAATGATAACGAACAAATATAACAGCTTCAATGAAGCCAATTCTGGCATTTTCAATCTAATCGAAAACCTACTTGTCCGTACAAATACCCAAGAACAAATGGAACTAAGTAAAAAACAAAGAAGCAGTTACCTGTACAATCATTATAACTCAATGGATTCGTCCCTCAATGAACACTACAATTTTGTCAACTACTCCATCTACTGTATTAACAAAGAATTAGCTGCCAATGTGGAGTTGGAGGCCACCAAAATGATAAAAATTTACAACTATGCTTTTAGCAAATTTAAAAAGGATATAAATTTTAAGGACCAACTTTTTGCCGACTTGGTAAATGAGGCCGACGAGGTCTCCACCTTAATAGTTAATGAGAAAAACAACCAAAAGAGGAGGATCCCCAAAATTGATTTCCTCATGTTGGCAAATATCAACAGTGAGAACTACAACAACATAATCGAATCGCACACTGTTCAAACGCCCAAGTTGAAGCTCGAGGAAATTTTTAAAATTAACGTGAATTGAAGTTTGACAAGCAAAAGGGGGGGGGGTGATGGCCCTACACAGTAGTGAACTGGCCAAAGTGTGTATATCATCCCTGCCCTTTTTTGATAATACAACGCTAGTGTGAACAATCACACCACGTTGAAATTCTGATATATTTTTTCCGTTTAACATATTTTTTTGTGTTTTTTTGTGTCATTAA